TATCTAAATAATATTTGTCCCTTTATCCTTTATCCTAGTTTCTGTTCGATTTTCGATTTACACAAGCCCTGCTTACCTCTGTCCATCTGATCTTCATTATGTCTTATAAGTATCAAATTCTCCAAATACTCATTCTTCATTATGTATCCAATAAATGCCAACGGGCTCTTTCTTTTTGTACAATTATCATTTTTGTGAACCACTTTAAAACTTCTTCGTTGTTTGTATATTCATTTCATGTAGAATTAATAAATTGTACATGCTTCAAATATCTTGGTGTCTGGGTCAGTTATAACAAATTTAGTATTCTTATACGAACATTGCTACAACTGATCCACTGATAGCAAATTGAACATAGGCTAGATTTAGTTTTGCTCAAAATCTCAGCATTCTACAAAGACCTACCTAAACATTAAACTGAAAACTCACTTCGTGTTCTTAAATACCATCTACAGATCGAGATATTTAAATGGCGATAAACCCATTCAGAAATATGTACAGTGCCATCTGTATACAACCGCTTTCTCATATCAATGGTTAAAATAGCTTTGAGCATATGAAGCATGTGAGTGGGACACCTCGGGGTGGTGTAATGGTTAGCAAGCTTGGCTCGATGGAACAATTACAACGGAATAGTGAGTTCGATTCTCACTGGGTGCCCCCTAATTTCGACCTTGTGCCGCATCTAAGCTACGCTTGGAAAATCACTATGAAGCATGTGAGTGTTGAAGAAGGCCACACTTTGTTGAAACTTGTTGGTGCTACAGAATCATAGTCAAAGAAATGTACCAAATAACAGGAACCACGTCACCCGACGACATTCGGTAGCGACAACAGTTACAATGCATCTCTATCTATAAAAGGCAGGATGTGTGTGTGTGTGTGTAACGAATGCACGGTCGCAATTTTCGACGGATTTGCACCAAGATGTACATGCACATGCTCCAAGTTAGCGGGAAGGCCGAGACCGACTTTGCATTTCCCAACTCCCACCGATAGTGGAAATAATCGATTTTTTCATGCTTTTACGGCACTTTTCATTTAGTTTGCGGCCATTTTCTATTGGCCAGAGTGAGATCCTATAGCTGGCTGCCAAAAATAGGCAGGAAGATACTACTGGCCAGCGTGAGAGCCAACAGCTGACTGATACGAATGTTAAGTAGCATGCAAAAAAAATCGATAGCTGCATTCGTCACGAGTGGGAAGAATTTAAATCTGCATGGCACTTTACTCCAATGGGCTCATTCGCTTGCTTAAACTCAACGTTGGTTCTGATTCCGCAGAACTGGGTTAGTTAATCAAAAAGTATTTGTTGTTAACATTCTTTTTTATTCGGTTTTCCAGTTACGAGTCCTTTTTAAAGCTGATCGTTTTGTGTTCATTTTGTTTAGTTCTTTTTTCGTAACAGATTTAATGTTTAGTATAGAGCTTAGAAAAAATTCGCAGTGTGAGATAGGCAAGAAGTAAGGCATGTAGCAACATCAGCACGGCAAAGGCCACTCCTTTAAAGGCAAGGAAGGGCAAAAAATATTTTAAGCCAAGAGGTAGCGATTGCTGTATGAGTTGTACGATTTTTTAATCAAGCACGGGCAACGCCGGGCCATGCTGCTAGTATCACATAAAACTCAAAGGGAAAATAATGACACAATCAAAATGTTGCTATTCCACATTAATCCAAAGAAAATTTAGGAAGCAAACCCATGTCATTACTGGAAAGAGCGAGAACAGCTACTGGACATGGGAAAATTGTTTTAAGAGAAATATTTTATAAATTTCAGCCGACAGGCTGCTCTGTTAGTAAATGCTAAATATTTCCTTATAATGAAACGGGTAATGTTATCATTACCGGTAACCTTCTCAACATCCATTTATATAACGACATACATTTTTGTGAGATGGTCCATGTGGGAGATAAATATATTGTTTCTTCTTAATACATACTTTTTCTTCTTTCAATACTGTACCAATATAACACCATCGTTATGTTAATGTTCAGACATTTTATAGATGGAACACGATATATTTATGCATGTTATTTTTATGTATGTCTGACAATGTGTTTTTTTATTGGCATGAAGTAATAGGCTAATTTGCGTACGCAGGTGATATCGGGATTATGGCCCTGAGATTTATTGTGTCAACTGAGAAAAGAGTAAAACAGATAACAGTTTTTCACTCATACGCCTTTTTTACAGTTTATAGAAAAAGAAGAAGGAAGCTATAAATATATTCAGGAAAATGAAAATGTTATTACCCTAAGACTATGTGCTTCTCTATACATCCACCAAAACTGACCTCAAGGTTCGTTTTCCGCCCTCCAAATGTCTTCGTTTACACCCCACCCCAATTTTAAATTACCTTAACCAGCGTCGAAATGTTGGTACGAGCTTTGAGAAAGAAAAAAATATCGTCAGCGATTATCATGACAGCAGAAATGAATTCACCAAAGGATAGCGAGAAAATTAGCTGAGGGAAGTTGAAGTGAGAAGTGTCAAATGACACTGCCCTGCGAAATAATACGTTCTTTTTAGACGCCGTGGGGTAACATAGGCGTGGCATAAACACTCCTCGGTAATGGTAGATTCAAAATGTTTTCTTGATATTTGCTAAAATGAGATTTTTTTTTTTAAATGGAAATTGCACCAATCAAGGGAGAAAAGCCATTAGAGCACAAGAGGTTACTGGGTGTGAAAGAATTAGAAAACATTATGAACAAGTGGGAACAATAGAAGAGTACCCAGGAATAGAGTAGATAACGATTGGCATAGCATTTAAATTTTTGAAGATCAAACTTGAATAGAAAGCAAAATGCCTGAAGAGAGTAAAGTCACTAAGACGCAAGAGGTTACAGGGTGTGGAAGAATTGGGAACAGAAATATTAATAATGAGAAGAAAGAGAAAAGAGTGATCAGCAGTCCAGGAGATAGCGATTGATATTGCATTTAAAAGTTTTGCAAATTAAAGTTGGCTGGAAAGTATGGGTCGAGAAGGAAGTTCCGCCCGTGAGAAGTGGAGGAAAGAAACTGTTAGCATAGGGCCTACGGTTAAATCTAGCCAATTCAACTGTAACATGATGAAATTTGTTGCTAATCTAGTACTGCGATTAAATTAATAAAGTCTAGCTACGTTAGCAAAGAGTTTATCATGAAAGTATTTATTTAAAAAAATATATGATTTACTTCTTTCTAATCTAATATTAAATTGATGGATACCATTTAAGAGTTCAGTCAGTTTTCATCAAGACCCACATTCGCAGTAGGATGGAAGGTATATTGAGACCCCTTCCCGCAAAATCACATGTTGAATTCAAACAATTACTGTTTCCATTTGGACCTAATTAAAAGTAGCAACCAATGAAAAGCGCCCGGACCAAAAACAATGCATACATATTAACAGATCAACCAGAAATAACTACAGTTTTTCTGGGATGTTCTATTACATCTGTAGTACCTGACCTTCTGAGTTCAGATTTACAATTATTTCGATCTCTGCAAAATTATATTTAATTTAAAGAACTGGAAGTTTGTAAAAACCTCTTTTGTCAGTTCATTACCCCAAAAGATGCCAATATATGTGAGGTGGGGAATCATGACGCCCCTTCAATGATGGCGAAAGAGAGTGAACAAGTTAAAAGATATACAGTTAAATAAGTCTATGTCCTAAATATCTAAATATTATCTTTGAAGTTCACGTAAAATTTCTAGGAACATTTCTCCGACTGAAGAATTAACATAAAGGTATCTCAGCGTGGAGCATTTTACAGTAAATTCGTTTTTCTAATAGCTACTATGTTTGGTTCAATTTTTCTTGTTACAAACTAATTAGCTCCTAACTTGATACCTATGCAGGTGATGCAAACAATTACTCCTCTTTCAATAGAAAGTCTGATCAATTCTATAAGATCAAGTTGGGATCTGATCTCAGATATGACCTTCAGTTAACTGTGACAAAAGAAAACTTGTTAATTTTAACGCTTCCAAAACGAAACTATTAATCATGTGTCAGGCCTCTTTCTGCTTTGTAGTATCATGGCTGATGCTAACCTCCAAGAGAATGACTCGTTGCACCTTCTCCTTCTTGGCTGACATGATGTGGAAAGACTATACGGACCCATTCGTAGGTCTGCTAGTAAGAAAATTGCTTCACAGTGTCGTGCTAGACAATACTTCTCTCCAGAACCTATCTTAGATATTTATAAGTCTACCATTCGCCCATGCTTAGAATATTGCTGCCACATATGGTTCTGTGCTTCTGATTTATATTTAGAGATTCTTTATAAAATCCAAAGACGAATCAGCAACATTATTCGTCCTGTATCTGTCTATATTTCTGATATGAGATATTATGTACACTATTTACATTATTCAGACTATTGACCTCGTCTTTGTTGCCATATTTATCCCAACGTTTCGGCCACTGAACGCTCCGGCCTTCTTCAGGTGGTTGGAATGTGGAACTGAACCCTTTATTTCGTTCGCTGGGGGAGACTGTTCTAGTTCCACGTGCGATGTCTAACGGATGTCAGTTATCAGTTATCTCCTGTTAATTCACCTCTCCAAGCTCTCCACTGCCTTAGAAAGGTATTGAACTCACAACTCTTTGGGTCCTGTCACTGGATCTAATCAGCCTTAAGAACACATAACACAGACGATAAAGGCGTTGGATCTAACCAACGCCTTTATCCGCTGAATATATTTATGGTAAAAAACTTTAGCAGATTTTCAGTGTTTATTTTAGATGAGCAATTAATTATATTAATGTAAATGTCCAATGAAATTTCACGGGTTCCATTCCCGCTATTGTCTACAAAATCTTAAATTAATAAAAAAAAAATAGTGTTGGAGAAATCATTTGGGTTACTGATGACTTCCAGAAAAATACAGCGTGGAATTTTATAATAAACGACGGAAGATTTCAAATGCATTCTCATTTATCTTACGTGATAAAACCTTTCAAATTCATTCACAATGACATCAACACATATATTATGTGTGAAAATTGCACCTGATATTCCACTGCGGTCGCCCATCTAGGTACTGACCAGGCTCGACGTTGCTTAACTTCTGGGATCGTACAGGTATCATTGTTTCAACGTGATATGGCCGTACGCCTCCTCTTCAAAAAGATGGGAAATAAGTGTTAACAGGGCGATAGGCGCACTTATCTAGTTTTATTAAACACTTTTTATATTGAAAATAATGTTCATTTATCATCCATGTAAAAATATTTCATTAAACGATTTTGCCATCTCTTTTACCCCAGCTCTACGGATTAAATAGCAGAACTTGTATCTGAAAAAAAGTCATTTCGATCTTCAAATACAGTTAATGCAATATTCACTCGCAAAAATTTTAAAAATAAAATTATAATCCTTGCAATACAAAATTATGTCTTGGCTTTTAATAACCCCGAAAGGGTTGATAAGACGTGACAAAATTTTAAAAAGAATAACGGATATTTCATATTTTGAAACCAACTGTTCAAATATTTTGTATGGCTACCTTTTAATTGCCAATGTTTTGACAGCGGAAATAATTACCCTAAATGTTTCACCTGCCAGATACAAATGTTTTATGTTTTAAGCTTAAAAATATTCTATTACGTTACGTTCAGTTTATTTTTTCAAAGCACCAACGAGGATCGAAATGTTGATCGAATATACCGTGCAGTAAAGATCTACTAGCCTCAAAGTGGTAATTTGTAGTCCAAAATTATCTAGTAAATATTCACTCATTAAAATAATAATGTCTTTATTTGTATTAAGCACAATATTTTAGTCACAAGACTAAAACACTGAGAATCCAATGAGAATTGAATTGACTAGTAAAGATCAGTGAATTCAGAAAACAATTACAACACAATTTCGTTAGAAAAGATATCTGTCCTCCAATATGGCAGTGCATGCTGGGCAATCTGATGAAGACGTAAATTGAAGCAACAGAAATTCTGAAGATACAATGACGAGGCTTTAGAGAAAATGGAAACAAAAAGGAAACTTAACATCAGGAAGAGGCAGTTGCAATTTCTGGGACACGTAATAAAAAAAAAGATGGTGTTGAAAAATCTGATACTCACAGGGCAGATTGAGAGAAAGTAGGACAGAGGAAAATTTCGTGCAACATGCTTGAGTAAGTGTATGGTAGATCAGGGTTTGAAAAAAATAACAAAAAAGACGAAACTTATCTCTATCTATAAAAGGCATGATGTGTGTGTGTGTCTCTGTGTGTCGGTGTGTGTAACGAATTCACGGCCGCAATTTTCGACGGATTTGCACCAAAATTTACATGCACATGCTGCAAGTTAGCGGGAAGGCCAAGACCGACTTTGCATTTCCCAACTCCCATCAATAGTGGAAATAATTGATTTTTTCATGTTTCTACTTCAGTTTTCATGTAGTTTGCGGCCATTTTCTACTGGCCAGAGTGAGAGCCAACAGCTGACAGACACGAATGTAACTAGCATGCTAGCATGCAAAAAACATCGATAGCTGCATTCGTCACAAGTGGGAAAAATTTAAATCTGCATGGCACTTTACTCCAATTGGCTCATTCGCTTGATTAAACACAACGTTGATTCTGATTCCGCAGAACTGGGTTAGTTGTGAAAAAGTATTTGTTGTTAACATTCTTTTTTTATTCGGCTTTTCCAGTTACAAGTCCTTTTTTAAAGCTGATCGTTTTGTGTTCATTTTGTTTAGTTCTTTTTTCGTAATAAATTTAATGTTAAGTATAGAGCTTAGAAAAAATTCGCAGTGTGAGATAGGCAAGAAGTAAGGCATGTAGCAACATCAGCACGGCAAAGCGCACTCCTTTAAAGGCAAGGAAGGGCAAAAATATTTTAAGCCAAGAGGTAGCGATTGCTGTATGAGTCGTACGATTTTTGAATCAAACATGGGCAACGCCGGGCCATGCTGCTAGTTAAGAGATAAAAGTGACAGGAGGGCCATTATTGCTTACGTCCTGAATGACACGCCACATAAAAGAAGATGATTTAACAAAGAACATTCATGTATGAGTAAATATAAATTATCATCGGGCGAAAATTTCTTATACTTGCAGCTCGATGAGGCACCCTGTAGCGATTTACTGGGAATAGATTAAATATGATACAAGGCCGTCAGTAAAGAGCATCCAGTATCGAACAACATCACTACTCAATCGCAATAGATCTAGCGAGACAAGCTTACGACAAGCTTACTCACTACATGGAAGTGCCCACGGGGCATCCTATAGTTTAATGTTTTATCTATTAAGCTTAGATATAGCGATTTAATCATAACATTCAGAGGGCAATGCCATACACAGTGAGGTGTGGTAGGGTGCTTCTTGCCCCAAGAGATAATGTTTGTACATCAACAGCTGCGGATGAAAACACGTGCTGCCTCTGTCCGACAGGGCAAGGTGGCATTTACATTGAGATAAAAAAATATAATTACAAAAAAAAACAAAAAAAAACAAAACAAGAAAAAACGCACAACTCAGCAAATGTTTGTTCACACTCTATTAATTCGGAAGGAATATTAGGCACGCTGGTTTTTTTTTTTTTGCTTTTGTTTTTTTTCTTTTCTTTCCATTTGATTTTTGAAGGCAGCTGATGGGTAAAGTTCTGTAGGACAGAGTTTATCTATTTGCATGAGGCACGTAAAAAAACACACATTGTCACAGATCACACATACACGCACACACGCATATATATATATATATATATATATATATATATATATATATATATATATATATATTAAAATAATATATAATATATATATATATATATATGTTTGTGACATTTTTAAATAAAATAGATAAATTATGCTGATTTTGCTGACGAAGCGCAATAACTTCTGCTGAAACGTATGTGAAAATTCGCATAATTAAAACCTTAAATAAAATTGATGTAATCTGGAAATCTGATCTACCAGAAAACCTCAAACGAAGATACTTTCGCGCCACTATAGAGGCGGTTTTAATGTATGGTATCACTTCTTGGACATTAAATAAAACCTAGAGTCTAAGCTTGATGGAACTTCCACTTCGTTGCTGAGAGCTATATCTAACATCTTTTGGAGACAACATCCAAGTAAATCACAGCTCTATGCACAAAATCTCTGATATTTATACAATCTTGCGAGAATGCAGAATGCGCTTTTCAGGTCACTGCTGTCGTGCAAGCAAGAACTTGCGAGGGATCTACCACTCTGCGCACCTCACCTTGTCGCAAAACGGGCTCGTCGCCCAGCAACTACCTACATTGTCCAGCTATGTTATGACACAGAATACCACTCCAATCAACTTCCGACCTCGATGCAGGACCGTGATAGGTGGTGTAATAGAATCGTGAATGTCCCAGCTAGCTTAACCGAATAATAATAATAATAATAATACCACTGAATATAAAACCCGACATGACAGAGTGGGCCAATATCTGCACTGGAAAATCTGAAACTTCTACGGGAAGGAAACTGAAAGAAACTGGTATGAACACCACCCAGACCCGGTTACGGAGATAGGACCTGTTACAATTCTATGGGACTACACAATACACACTGACAGAACAATCAGGGCCAACCGCCCGGATATTGTTATTAAAGACCACAAACAAAAACGGTCCCTCCTTATTGATATGGCAGTCCCTGCTGACTGCAATGTATCTTTGAAGATATTCAAAAAGTTGTCAAAGTAAAAGGACCTTGAAATAGAAATCTCGAAAATGTGGCATATGGGAACATCAACAATTCCTCTTGTAGTTGGAGCCCTAGGACTGGTTGGAAAAGATTGCAGTAGATTAATTGAAGGGATTCCTGGAAGTCCATGCCTCAAGGAGATACAAAAAAAAATGATCTGACAAGTACAGCCCACACTTTACGAAGGGCTTTATCTATGTAATTTTTTTTTTTTTTTTTTTGTCAGTGGAAAGTGTCATGACGCCATTTCTAACCTTAAACCCTGGGGGACCCGGAAAGAAATGTGTAAACGCCAGAAATCAAAAATAATAATAATAATAATAATAATAATAATAATAATGAGCTGTATTTGTGAGTAGACCTTTTTGTATTTCCTTAATCCCTGGTAACCCATGCCATAGAGTAGAAAAAGCTGTACTCACAAGTAAAGCCCACACCTTACGAAAGGCTTTTATCTAGGTAAAATATGTGTGATTTTTTTCAAAACTGCTCAGTGGAAAATGTCATAATAATATTTTGGCCTTAGGCCTCTGATCGGCATCCGGAAATAAATTAGTATACACCAGAAATAAAATTAAATCAAACAATAATAATAATAATAATCATGTTTTAAAATATTTCCTCTTTGAAATTAGTCTTAAGTTAGTAATAGAAGCATCAGTCTGTTAAGTGTAACAAGTAATAAACGCTTGGGCAATCATTTTCCTTCGATTAATGCCGAATATGACAGAAAATTTCCCGCAGAAGACAGGTTGCCAACCAAAACTATAGAACCAAGTCTGTCCTGCTATTCAATCCCTACCCGGTGGGGGGAAGAGAAGGGATGGATCCATACGTTTCTGTAGCATTCAAATTTATTTTCGGTCAAAAATAAGAGGTTAGAATAAACGGACAGGTTTAACAGTAAGCCTCTTCTTTGAGTGCTTATCAAGACTTGTACTGACAATTTACTATTTACACTATTTACATCGTTCGCACTGTTGTCCTCATCTTTATTGCCATAGCCACAACGTTTCAGTGTTTCTTCAAGTGATATACGCAGTAATTTCGAACCGAAATTTTTATTTTAGCCCACGGAATAGATTGTTCGAATTGCACGTGCCATGCTTTTTTTTTTTTAGATATCTTAGTTTTAGTTAATTCACTTTAGTAATTCAACCCTCCAATTTCTTTTTTGTTTCCTCTGCTGTGGTCAGATATTAAAATCAAAACTCTTTTGGTCATGTTACTTTTAGGATTACTTCAATGAACGCTTTTATCCAATGGGCCATGTGTCCTTGGGGACTAAATAAAGGGTTCAACTCGAAATTCCAACCATATCACTCGAACAAAGCCGGAGTGTACAACGGTCGAAACGTCATGAATACGGCAATAAAGATGACGACAACAACACAAACGATGTAAATAATTATAATAACTCATCTCAGAAATAGAGACAGACAGTCTAGTATAAAATATGAATTTCTAGTCTAGTATAAAATAAGAATTTCTCAAACAAATACTGCTTACAAATCAGAGCCACACTTAACATACCTATAGAATATGCTATGTCGATTGTAATAGAAAATTATACTGAGTTCATGTATGGTTAACTCTTGGTTTTAATCCTTGCTTAGTGGCGTTTATTTTAATACTTTACAATTATATTGGCAGAGTTTCAGTGTGAAAAAATTGGTACGTTCCATCATCACTGAGTAGACACAGAAATTTCATCTCTTTTGATCTATGGTGGTTCTGCGAAGAAGGGGCCACGCCTTGAACAGGCGTGGCCCCTTCTTCGCAGAACCATTTCATCCCATACCTCACGCCAAACTCATATATACGAAATATTGCTAATTCTGTCTCGCATTGTCCGGCTTTATTGAATCTTTGGAAAAATGCAATTGAACAATTATTCGCAAATAACTTATAATTGCGACACTATTTAGGGCTGTGTGGGAAAAAAAAGGTGAGAATTAGATTAGGTGATAAGAAGCTATCACGAAAAGACACTGAGCGATGTTATTTTTTCTAACAAAGAAAAGTGGTAAAGATTTTATTTTCATTAGCGAAGAAAGTAAGATACCGGATTTAATTTGATTTATGTTACAGGGCAGCGAATAAGATATAGCCATCTGACCATGGCAATAATGAAAGTTTCAAATTGGACAAGTGGCCTACAGGACAGAGTGATAAGAGATAAAATTAATTAGGTCAAGCGCTCTGACCGAGAAAAATGTCCGCTGGACCACCCCCATATCATTTGAGAAGAGCACCTGTTTTGTGTCGGAGCTGGCCATGATAAAAAAAAATATTTTATCGGAACGAATAATTGGCACCAGGGTGCAAAGTCGCCAGATGACCACCCACTTGATGCTGGCGAAAATCTCATTGACGAACTCCAGAAATTTTCATAAAATATATTCGTCCTTTGACAGGATTTTCTATGAAAATTTCTCGGACATTCAGGCCGGTAAATGTTATTTAATACTGTTTATTATAAATACAGCATTTACTTAAATACTTGTACCTATAAAAAGAATGTTAAACATAAAAATGTCTTTAATAAATTGTCGGACTTTGTCCATTTCTTAATGTATATGTATATATATATATATATATGTGTGTGTGTGTATGTGTGTGTATATACATATGTGTGTGTTTGTGTGTGCGTGTGCGTGTATGTGTGCGTAGGTGTGTACGTTTCATTGAATACGACAGACAAGTTTCTTTGATTTAGTTTTTATAAAATTTCTCATGTGATCTTATAATTTTTTCTTCTCGGAGGATAAAATATAAAAAAAATGTCTAGTTGTTCTTTCTTTCCAAGCG